ATAAATATAAATATAAATAAATAATAAATATATTATTTATTTATTTATTTATGTATTTGTTTATTTATTTATTTATGCACGTATTTATTTACGTATATTTGTCTGCGCATGTGTATGTGGAGGTTTAGGGCTTAGGGTGCAGGGCTTAGGGCTTAGGGCTTACGGTTTCAGGTTTAGGGTTTAAGGTTTGGGGTTTAGGGTCTCAGAAACTAACTCGAAAGCCTTCTAAGATCAGTCATGAGAGCTTTCCGAAATAAACTGATGGTATGGGGTGATTCAGACCCGTGGAACCACAGGCCCGTTTCACCGAAAAGATGGCTTGGCTATGAAATCTTGGAGCCAGGGGGTTTTTGGCTTTTCTTACTAGTACGCCGCCGCTCCCACATCATAACATCGTAAGTGCACCTCTAGTCCCCATTGTAGTTCTTTGTTGGGGTCTAACCAACTTTAGAAGTAGGATCCTAGAAGGTAACCCAAAGAAGAACTCTTAATGGAGACTATAGGTACCCAGTTTACCTGCCTCCGCCAAAGGTTGCAAGCTGGTGCGTCGCGTGGAATGCGGCTGCTCCACGCTGACATCGTCTTCCTCTGGATAAACGCTGGAGTATAAGGCTGGGGTTTACAGGGCTATAGCAGCTTAGCACTCCTAGAGTTACATATCCCAAAACCCCGCAAGAGCCAGAACTGCACCCTCAAACTCCTAAGCCCAAACAGCTTCTAAAGCCCGAGCCCAGAAGCACCAGAAACTCCTAAACCACAAAGCCTTCTCCCCTCAAACAGAGGGTCTGAACACCCAAACCCCCGAAAAAAGGGCTAACCGGGGTTTAGGGGTTGTTGAATTAGCGCAGAATTTGAAAGACCCAAAAAGGTTAGGGTATAGGGTTTAAGCTTTATAGCTTTTGAATTAGAGCAGAATGTAAAAAGACAAAAAAAAAGTGGAGGATTACCTGCTCAGCCCCCAACCTAAATCCTAAACCCCCAAACCCTGAACCCCCAAGGCCTCGGACCGAGGTAGAACTGGAGAGGAGGGCACTTTCTCGAGCTCGCCAGTCTCTGCTGGCTTGAGCCTCCCCAGGGGGGGGGGGGGGTTTATACGGGGTTAGGGTTTAGGGGTTTAGGGTTTTGGGTTCCGGGTTTCGGGTTTAGGGGAGGGATGGGAGGGGAGGGTGCTAGGACCTGAAACTGTATCGACGAACTGCCTTTTGGAGTTGAGGGCTTGGGGTTGAGGCCGTAGAAACCCCGCAGACTAGGCCCCTGGGCTTAGGGCTTCGAGTTTAGCATACAGAAGACAGAGAAACCAAAAACGCGGGTGGGCGGACTGGGGAGGAGCCCGATGCCCTCATCCCTTAATTCGGGCCCTGAAGCGGACCCGAAAACCCTTATAAGCCCTCAAAGCAAACCCGAAACTTCGCCAAAACCCTAAACCGGTACACCCGTATGAACCCCTAGGAGCCTCCCTAACCTTAAACCTGGACCCCAAACTCCAAACCCTATTACCTGCCAAGGAGCCCTTCCGCGGTGGCTAAGTTGGGCATGTTGAAGGCTTGACCCGGAGACGTCTCCATGAGCATTGCCATGATCGCCTGGGCTTACGGGCTTAGGGGTTCGGCGATCCAGGGCTGTGGGGCTGAGGGGGCTTAGGGTTTAGGGCTGAGGCTGAAATCCTAAAAAGTACAGCGCCGCACCCACAGACAAATCAAGCCGATTGATGGGGCCTTATACTGTGACGGAGGGCAACAAAGCCCCTCTGCGCCAGCTCGGCTTGCACCTCGAGGTAAACAGACGTAGGACAGAACGAAACGGCCGAGCTCGACGAACGTGCACGTCCCTACTTCTGAAGGCGATGCAACGTGCGACAACCAGCCATCACGTGCAAACGAACTACTAGAAGGAGGGGTGACAACCCGAAAACCTCCACCTGAAGGGTTTAGGTTTTAGGGTTTAGTAAAACTTCTCCATGAACACCAATGACAGGGCTGAAACTGCACAATAGAACGCTCTGAAAACTCCAAAAAAACACTAGACCCTAACCCCTAAACCCTAAACCTGTACATGCTCTCTTTGCTCTTCTACAAAGCCAAGGTCGCTTCGACACGATTGTCGAGGACTTCAAAGCACCGCCGGGAGAGGCCGTAGAGCTCCTTTAGGGGTTTAGGTGTGTAGGGCCAGTTTAGGGTTTTGGGTGTAGAGTGTAGGGTGTTTGGGGGTTGAGGGTTTAGGGTCTATAGGGTTTAGGGTTTAGGGTCTAGGGTTTAGGGTTTAGGGGATTTTGCGGGTTTGGGGTTTCAGGTTTAGGGCTCCGGGCTTCCATCAAGGGCTTCCATAATCACGGCCCCAAAAAGGGTTGCTGTAAGGGCTAGGAGCTTTCAGGTGCAGGGAGTTACAGATGTGGAGTTGGGCCTTTGGGCTAGTTTAGAGTATTCGGGTTGAGAGTTTGAGCCTTTTGTTTGTTCAGGGCTATTTTTTCGACTGCGCAGAAAGTGAAAGCAAAGGCTCAGGCGTCAAGGTTTCGAGGTTTAGCCTAAACCCTAAACCCCTA